GAAACTGTTTATCTTCAGAAAATAAAAGAGTAGGCCTGCTAAAGTTTGAGGGGAAAAAACTCAAATCACAAAGAAAAAGGGAAATTTAATCAAAGTTGCAAAAGGCCCTGGAGAGAAGGCTTGGGTTACAATTCCAACTGAACTTTCATGTGATTGTGTTTTTCATAAGTGACTCAACACCCCTCCTACCATATCATTTTTTGTAATTTGTCAAAAGCGGAATGTCTGCTATACTGCTTTCACAGGGTGGTTATAAAGGATAAAATGAAAGAACAATTTGGAAAAGTCTAAAGCACTTCAAAATATAAAACACTATTAATAATGCACATCACTTTCTAAAGAACTGCAGAGCTACAGGAACAGAAAAAAAAAATCAAGACATTGAAGTACTTTGTAAGCTGCCATTTGGTGTCAAAATACTACAATGATTCAGTGCATTTCCTTGGTAGATTTCACTTTTTCAAAGAAATTCTTAGGTTAAAAGCAGTTTAATTTAGAATCAATTCTTTAATTCTTTTAACCCAATGAATCATTTAAAGTGTGGAATATTCAAATTCGGTTCTTTGTTATAAATATAAGTTTCACAGTTTGAATCAAGCCTTTTCTGTGAAACAAGGATGTATGAAGCAGTAACAATTTTGATGGTTCTTATACAGAAAATGAAAATAAATTTTAAAAAAGAAGAAGAAGAAGAAGAAGAAGAAGCAGCAGCAGCCGCCGCCGCCGCCGCCCAGCCAGAATGTCTCAGTTGGTTGGGCATTGTCCAGTGCACTGAAAGGTTGCTGGTTCGATTCCAGGTCAGGGCACATACCTGGGTTGCAGGTTTGATCCCTGGTTGGGGCACTTAGGAGTATGAGAGGCAACCAACTGATGTTTCTCTCCCACATCAATGTTTCTCTCTCTCTCTCTCTCTCCCCTCTCCCCTTACCTCTCTCTAAGTAGGTCCTCAGGTTGAGGATTTTTAAAAATGAAGGGGAAAAAAAGACGCAAGAGAAAAAATATTTTTCTCCTACTAAGAGAAAAACAAAAAGTGAATACTAAGATAAACACTTTATTGCTAAATATGTGAAATACTTTTCCATTTGAAGACCTGAGTTACCACTATCTCCACCTTCTACCCCCATCTTTCTAGAGGTATCACTAATTGTGCTTCTTTTATAACTTTTGGTCCATGCAATCCCCATAGAAACCAGTGAGTAAATGTTTAGAGACAGGACTAGGGCATGGATCGCTGGAGCATACAAGACTAGAGCTGTACAGGATGAACAGGTGTGCTGTGAATTCTAGGCACAGAGACCATCTTATATTCAAAGGACAACCAGGTGAATCTTGATTTGGTTTTATTGATAAGTGAGGAAGAAATTTCCCTGTTTATTTTGCTTTGGGGATTGCCTTACCAACCAGGATGGCACTGGCAACATGTAAGAATTCAGATGAATCTCTTTTGGGGCAGTTATGTCTTAGATTTTAAAGTGGAATATATTTCCTGGGACATAACAGTACTGAGCTATGAGTTATTAGTGTCCTCTTTTAAATGAATCATTGTACTTACAGAAGAATCTCCTTGGTTCATATTATGAATTCATGCAGACAGATCTTGTTTTCTTTGGAACTATGATGACCTAACACTCAGCCTCCCATTAATTGTTTGGACAGTTGGTGAAGCAGTGTCAAATTGTTTTGCCTAAGCTTCGTTCAAAATCCAAAGTTAAACAAATTCATCTACCTTGTCAGTACATTTCTGATCCTTTCTGGAGTTAGTCCCAGGAACTGGGGGGAATGGCCACAGTCTTGTGTGCCTAGAACATTTCTTGTTTGATGTTATGGCACTAATGTTGCTAAACTTCTTTCAGATGGGGCTTTGGTGGGTTTCTTAAGATTCCCAGTAGCCAGAAGACTTTGGAGCCAGCAGGCTGACATCCTCTGGGATGGGTGATGCTCTAGTCTTGCCTTGTCATTGGCAGAGACCCATCTTGGCAGGGTCCAGACAATGCTGTTGCATCGTGCTCCAATTTCATCTGCCCTAAGGCTGAAGAGCATAAATCGCTTTTGACTGGGTTTGAATGTAAGACAGTTTGACTCACAGCTCTTATATTCAGGGATAGAAAATTCTACCAGTCTCCTGCAAAAGCCTTCTTTTCTAAAGATTACCCTGGGGTAATAACCAAAAGTCAGCATCTGATCAAGACCTGGACCAACTACATTAACTGACATCCCCTAGTCCTTTTTATCTATAGACTCTATATGTGAAATAAATGCCTGTCAAAGCTTTACAACCTTATTTAAAAATTGATCTTAAAGTGTTATGACTGTTCTGTGATATTTTAATATACATGTTTTATGATTACTCATTAATGTCTGAATTGTATCACTTTAATAATTCTGTATTAGAGCATTTCCATTTCTTGATCAGAATGGGTTTTAGATGTTTTTGCTTATGCACATAATGCTTTTATATGTGTCCTCACTTTTTAATGTTATAAGACCATACTTGGTTTTAATCTTTTCAATTCTATTACCTTTTTTACTTAACTTATACAGATTTAGATATCTATTACTTGTCCATAAATAGTGCAGAGGAAAAAGAACACAAGGAACTCACTAAACCAATCATTATTCTCTTGCTCTTAACAATTTAAAATAGATAGACTTTGGGCTTTAACAGTCCTTCCCCAAAGACCAAAGAAAAACACTAGACTGGCATCCAATAACTTTGACAGACCCTGAATCAGAGCCTGTGGGATGAACCCTGGCACACTGAACACTGAACACTATCAGGGCCGGACTCTGAAACGCCCCTTTTCTGAGAGACAGTATTCCCGGAGGCTACGCCTACAATGAAGATGAATTTGGAATTTGAAGGAGGTTTTGGCAAAATAATTTTAGGCTGATATATAAACTACCCAAGCAGTTAAATATGGTTGTAAGTGTTGAGAGAGCGAGGATGCTGATTTTCCCTCTAACTCACATTAATAAAGAAGACTGTATTTGAGGAAAGTTGACTCATTAAAGGAAGGCACCCATAACATGCAGATAAGTTGAGTTATCCCTGGGTAAATGTGATATTTGCTCTGCTTAGCATGCTTCGTTGCAAATCTTTACCATAAGGAAGTGGAAGGAGGGAAATAAAGAGATGAAAACAGGATGGCACGAAAAGAGCAACAAACACGATCAGGAAATCAGTCCGTCCTGACTGTGCCACTTGATAGCTACACAATGTGGGTCTTCCCCGTTTCCCACTGTGAATAGCAAATGGGTTTTGACTTAAGGATCTGTAATGTGCTATGACATTTCGATTATCCAAGTAAAACTGGTTCCCTCTGTCTGTTTTCTAATAAGTCTCTTTTATAACCTTTTCACTGAAAGACATCTCTCGTTTTCGAAAGCACTTTGGACACAGTGCGTAGGTCCAATTATTCCTAATGAAAGGAGAACCTTCAATTCCTCTAACCACCTGGAGTCATGATTAGAGGTTTGGAAAGCCTTTCAGACAGAGGCTGGAGGGGCATCTATTTAGGGATATTAGTGGCCTATTGTGTTAGCAATTTATTCTTTGGCCAAGGTACAAGCTGCACTAGATAATCTCAAACGTCCACTCCAGCTCTCAGATTTCGTCTAGCACAGACATCATGCTGCTAAGTTTTTATCTAAAATGTCTCACACCCTCCAGACACTTTGTGGAATTAGAAACCAACTGCATTTGCCAAACCAAACAGACAGGCTGGTGATTCAACTGCAGATTAGCAGGCGGTCCCGATAATTTGCTGCTCTCTCTAAATTCTCCATGAGCTACGCAGAGAGCACACATTTCTCCTTTTCTCCTGCCTCGGTCACTGTCTGTTAAGACAGTCTCATTTTCTCAGGGCTGGGGGGTCTTGTGACATTTTCCCAGGTTACCAAGACACAGTGCTACCGGGGGTGGGGGTGGAGGGGGGTAGCATCCTTTTCTATCTGTCAGCCTCCCTTCTGAGAATTCTTGATCAGTGTGAGAGACTTCTCAAAGCAATTGCCTGCTTAGCACCTTCCTCTCTCTCCTGGAGAATTTAAAGTACCCACCCTCTAGAAATGCAAATTAAGTCCTCTTCAAAAGTAGTTTAAGTATCTGGCTTTGTAAACATTTCTTTACCATTAGTAGGAAATCGCAAATCTTTATTGGCTTTGCTGCTAAAGAAAATTCTAATTTTCTCAGAACAAGCTTCTGCTTCTCCTGCTCTTATCCCAGAGCTCCCCCTTGTGCCCTGATGAGAAACTGACTCAAGAAAGAGCTAAAGGTCAGCACAATTAGATTGTGGGGTTCAGGCAGTTCCTCAGGGCAGCAGTTCTCAAACTTCAGGGAGCATCACAATTATAAAACCCACCCTGTAAATCATGACACTAAACTAGCTTTTCAGAAACTAAAATGCAGAACAAAATTTGAGAATCTGTCTCAGAAAAAAAAAGATCTCTACAACATGGATTAAGACCAGTGTTTCTCAAATTTTGATATGTATCAGAATTGCCTTGTGTTTTTAGAGACATTCCTGTGCTGAACACTCAGAGATTCTTTACATGTTAGGGACGGTCTAGAAAATGGTTTTAAAACAGACACCCCAAGGGGTTCGGCTGCAGGGGATCTTAAGAAACCCTTAAAAAGACAGTTAAGGTTCCTAAGTAGGAAAACATACTAGAGGTCAAAGCAGAAACTTAACGTCTCCTCTCCTCACAACAACAACAAAAAATTTCCCTCTCCTCACAACAACAAAAAAAGTCACTTAATATCATGAGATTATTTTTCATTATTACTTTAAAAACTCAAAACCTATTTCAGGATAGTTAAAGAGATATATTTTCTAAAGGATAGACTAGTCTTTTAGCAACGTTATCTGCTCGATGCAGAGATCTGGAGGAGGCTTCACAAGTCATCCATATAGACTCCTAGAGGCTAGACCCAAGGAGGTTAGTTGCTAGGTCCAAAAAGGACCTCAGAGGTGCTAAAGAGAATGAGCAATCTGCACTCAAAGCCATATGGCAGGGCATCGGACAACAGTTAAAGAATCTCTGATCTGCTGCCTGGACCTTAGCAAGGATGCTAGCCCAGGGATCTTCTACTACTACTACGTGATATTTATGATACTTGGGGGGACCAGAATGAGTCATCCCAAAATATGCCTCGGTGATATGCAGATTACCCTTTAAGCTAAAGGCACTTTTAGCTTCAGGCTCAAGATAAACTTTGGCCCCTCCCTTTACTATCTATAGGGCAGGGCACACTTCTATTTACTAAAAGTCTGTTCTGATGGTCCTGCAATGACCCTTTGAAGACCCCAGGGTGCATTACCTCATCCCTCGCTCAGGATGTCTTGTACCTCAACCGCCCTCTCTATCTCTGAATCTCCCCTGTATGTGGGGTTTCCATACATATGTATGTATTAAAGTTGGTTATTTTCTCCTGCTAATCTGCCTTAAGGCTGTTTCATTATTAGTCCAACCTGAAGAAACTTGAGGGCAGAGCAAAGTTTGTTCCTCCCCCACAATGCCCTTGAGCAGTAAGCTCCCTCTGTTTATTCCACTGATTGATATCTATTACCTTTTATTATGTATTTTCATCACATTCTTCTCTCAGAAAAGGTGAAAAGAAAAATTAAGTCATAGATCTATAAGAACCAGAGAAACACAATTGGTAAGAGGTGAATGCTAGAATGCCTTTATGCCCAGAAATAAGCCTCAAATATTGTTACCACTGTAATTATTTTCAAGATGCCCAACTAATTGAAAGAATGCTTAGACCACTGACTTCCAATCCTGATGTAACATAAGCAGGATAACTTAAGATCTCTCAAGGGCTACTGTGAAACTATCAAAAATAAAATAAGTAAATTATTTTCTTTAAAAAACATAAACTTTGATAGTTTGATGAAGGAAAATTTGCAAACTACAATCCAAAGGTACCTTAACCCTAAAAAGATTAGGACAAATAATATACATACTGAACAATGAATAACTGTGAAGAACAGAAATCAGGAGACATTTAAGTGTCACTCTTGCATGAAAGCAATCTTTATTTAAACCATCTGTTCTCAACCTGTGGGTCGCGACCCCTTTGGCGGTCGAACGACCCTTTCACAGGGGTCGCCTAAGACCATCCTGCATATCAGATATTTACATTACGATTCATAACAGTAGCAACATTACAGTTATGAAGTAGCAACGAAAATAATTTTATTGTTGGGTCACAACTTGAGGAACTGCATTTAAAGGGCCAGAAGTTGAGAACCACTGATTTAAACTGACAGTTCTTCTGAGTCTATGAAATTGCTTCCTTTCTCCCATGCAAAGTGGATGTATGAAACAGATCGAGAATGTGGACAGCCATTGCCTCAGTGCCAATCAGTCAAATAAACAGTATCATGTAGTCTCTAGGTCACACTCTGCCTTGGTGATTTTGCCACCATTAATCAGAAAACTTAAGAGTTAGAAATGGAACATACAAATTATCCACCCTGGCCCCATCCCCTTGAGGAGGAAACTGATCTTGCAAGGCGTGTCAGGCCATAAAAACTGTGAACAATGCACTGCCCTGGGGCTGGGGGGGTGGTCGTTATCACTGGCCCCAGGACAGATCATCGGACATGGCCTGGGGACTCCCAACACCTGGGGGCCTTCCTGTAAGCCCACGAAAGGGGGTGGAACCATATCTGCAAGACAAAGACCCCAGAAGGTTATAAAAAGCGAAGCCTCTGCGTGTTTCTTCACTCTGATTTGGAAATTATTCCCGGAGCCCACTAGTGTTAATAAACCGGGTCCCTCCCTTTCTCTAGGAAGCGTGCTTGGTATTTCTGCAACACCCTCACAGAGAAAGAAACTATGACTCAGAGGTTAGATTATTTAATCTAGATTACCCCAATAGTTCATTATTGATAAAGAATGATCACCCAGAAGAGTTCCTAATCCAGCTCTCAAAGAAATTAAGGCTAAACAGTATGAATAAGTACAAGGATAAAAACAGTATAACTATATATTACCTAAGCAATTTTTTAAGAGATTTAGATGCTCAGGCAAACAGAGGAGAATATATTGTTGAGGAAACTGGGAAATACTGAGATGGAGCAAAACCTCTTTTTTAAATATTTTTTATTGATTTCAGAGGAAGCGAGAGGGCGAGGGAGAGGTAGAAACATTAATGATGAGAGAGCCAAGAACCGGGAATGTGCCCTGACCAGGAATCTAACCATGACCTCTTGGTTCATGGGTTGACACTCAACCACTGAGCCATGCCGGCTGGGTGCAGCAAAACTTCTTAATAGGCACTCAGTGTAACCTACAACCAAAATCTACAGAGTCTTCTGTTCTCTGCTTTACATCCATAGAGAATATGTTTTAAAATATTAAGATACTAGAGTTTTGCTTCCTCATAATACATACAAATGTAAATAATCATTTAGAATAAGGTTACCTGGGGACTGAAATCACTCCAGCTCCCAGTTTAGTAGGATTACATCTCATTTTCACCGCAGTTGACCGGCCATTAACACAAGATGTTGTAGTTGCAGAAGACCTATTGTAAAGCACATATCATTTTACAAAATATATATGACACAGATTACAAAGACAAAAATATCCTCCATATAAAAACTCCTATGCTATATAAACAAATGGAAAAGGAATCAAAGTTCACTACTTTATAATTTTAATACAAATTAAGCTCATTTTCTTTTACTGACTATAAAAAGTTTACTATTTTCTCAGGTAAAGTGATAAGCTATTATCAAGGTGTTTAGTAAAGCTTCTATAATTAAAATCAAAATTATAATCAAAAGAAATTTTAAAGGGAAATGCCGGGGTCTTATTCGCATCTCTTAGGGTTCAGGAATCTGGAGAAAGGGCTGCGGCGCAAATTAATAAAGAGACTAGACATGAAATATAAATTTGGGAGGCATTTTTCGGGAGTCAGGGGAGGCTTAGCTTTAGTAACTAAGCTCCCCAATCTCCGGGCCTTGCCCTATAGCAAAGCAGATATACGTATCAAAGGTAAGGTTTGGTAAACAGTAAAGGACCATCCGGTTGGGGGAACTGCCCTCAGCTGTCTGGCAGCAGGCAATAACATGCAGATCTTCAGCCCTGCTGAAGCCTAAATTCCATCAACCTTCTGATGGACTTCTTGCATTTATGACCTGCTGGAATTAGCCTCCAGCAGGGAAAAATGTCATATCCACTCAGGCTGATGTTTAGTTGTATAAGTTATAAATAAGTACTGCCTACACAATAGAGGCAGTATTGCCTAATTTAAAATATTATATAATATATATGAGCAAAATTTTAAAAGGCTTTCAAACTATTCCATGTTTCCTACTTTTTACTAAGTCTTTTATTTAAGAACCAATTGCTGATTATCTATTAATTATAAGCTACTATGCTGGCACCCTGAAGTGACATTCTTTTGATTAAAAAAAAAAACTGTCAAGGGAAACAGCATCTTCACTTACTTGTAAAAGAAATGCACATCTGGTATTTGGCTCGGTGGAACTGGGAACATATCTTCTTTTATATTAATATTTTGCAGTGTGGTTTCAATTGTCACTCCTACATGGCAATAAAAAAGACATTACTGAGCAATATGGGAAAATTAAGTTTATTTAGTCTCTGTATATCTGAATAGAAAATAGCTTTACTTTTATACTGTCATTTTAGCAGAAATATTGTATTAAATTAATATGACAATAAGAAACTTTCCACAGTCTATGAAAAAAAAAAAAGATTCTATTCCCTAGTTTTGTAATTTTGCTTAAGTCACTTCACTTCCTTGGCTCTTATGTCCTGAATCTGTAAAATGCATGCAATAATCACAATATCTCTAAAGTCCCTTCCAGTTCTAACATTTGAACAATCCACTATCATACTTCTCAGCCTCTGGTGAGTTTTGCCGAATGAGCTGGGCAACTTTGCTAATACAGCTTTTCTTTCACATTCATTGCAGGCATATTTGACCCAAAAAAAGATTCTTGTACCCTAATAATTTCCAAAAATAACTCCAAAATTTTCTTAATCTAAAAGTAAGGCATTTTTTCCCTGAACAAAATGATGGCAGAGCCAAAATGCAAGCAATCACAGCGACCTTTGCTTCTGACACAACTCCTACGCTGAGCACAAGCTCAGTAACTGACCTTGGTGCTGAAAAGTAAAGCTCAATTCCTCTGGAACCCATAGCAACGGTTCTCAAATCTGGCTGCATATTAGAATCATCTAAGAAGCTTGTTAGATTGTTATATGCCTTGTTAGGTTCCTAAGCCCCACTTCAAAAAGTCTCATGAATTTGATCCCTGTGAATTACTAACAGGAACCTGAATTCTTCTTAAAATATTCCTATGTTCTTGACACCACAGAGATAGACAAGCAGACAGGGAATAAAACTCAACACATTCACCTTTGCTACTTGTCACCAACTTACTTCTGGTATGAAAAAACATGATGAAAACTGATGACAGATATTATAATTTAGGTTTATATTGTGTCTGTTTACTGTTCTTCTTTTCTTTCTAGTTTTGGTGTTTTAAATTATTTTGTGTCTTAAAACTCCTAAAGGATCTGATATAAGGCCAACTCTCAGAAAACACATATCACATCTGAGTCAATACATAAATTCAGAAGTTCCTTGTACTCACTGAGATTAATGACTAGACCTCACTTGTAGGGGCTTTTTAACCATGTCACAAAGTGATGATTTAGAATTACCTGTGGGCTTTAATCATCTATGATAAAAACCAATGCTATGACAGGTTATCAGTACCCTAGTTTTATACATGCATATATGAACGAAATGAAGCTTACCTAAAAATGTGTCTGCCAGAATGATGGATTGTGATGATAAAGCTGCTCGGAAACCCTTACTTTCAGAAGGAATAATAGTTGATTGGCATACAAATGCTCCTACCAGATTCGTGTAATCATCTGAGCCTGCCACCATGTCCTTTACTGTAAAGTCTGTTATATTGTTGGTACAGAGGGCCATCTTCTCCCCCTAGGAAAATGAATTCATAAAGAAGTTTTATTGGGGGTCACTCTTTAAACTGGATCTCAGCTAGCCAGTGACTTGAGTAGGGCAGTGGTTCTCTCCTCACCGCAATCCTGATTTATTAGATCTGGTGGGAGGCCCAGCCACCAGTATTTTTTAAAAGCTCTTGAGGCTATTCTAATGTTTCAACCAGGGTTGAGAGTCACTGAGGTTATGATGAATATACTAATTCAAGGCTGCATTCCTCCTCCAACTGCAAGCATCATTTGTTGTGGATGAAAGCCATCTAACACAAGGAAGTATAAGTCATCTATGAACTCTTCAATTCATAGGATAACAATGCATGCAAAGAAACCAGAAAACTGTTGATGCCAAGAAAAAGACTTGCACTTCATAGGCTGATGTGTGCCAGAAAGGTGATGTGAAGGCTGAAGAAGAAACATAAAAGCCATATTGCCATAGAATCCTAAGACAACATCAAAATTGTAAACAATTGGTCACAACAAGTGTCTTTATTCACATACTCTTAGATTCAAGGACATGTATCTGCTCAACTACACAGTAAGCTTAAGGGAACACAAAGGTTTACTTTCATAATTATTTGGAGGATAGTTGGGAGATATAATTTATAAAAATTGGAAGACTCTTTAAATATAATATGTTTAAATATACTATAGTCCCAATACAAAGGACTATAGCTTGCTCTATTATTTTTATGAAGAAATGTACAAAGGAAAATAGGAACCTAGTTTATTGGTCTTCAATGTAGAGTGGGCATAAAGAAAAGAATCAAGATTTCACTTTGTTAATGCAGCTGGTAGTCCTAACCTATGAAATGTTTTCTCTCCACCAAGCCTTCTCACCACAATAAGGTGTAACATATTTTTACTAAGCTCAAATTAAATTGTTGAAGCCAAAAAGAGAGAAAAGTGGAAAAGAGCAGAAATACACTACTAAGGAAGGAAAGAGAAAGTCAACAGTACACAGAAAGGAGTGAGAATATAAAGTGGGGGAAAAGAGAAAGAAGGCGAAGAGAAAAGATGGAAGAACAGACAGTGGTAATACAGGAATAAGACTAAGAAGTGTGATATATAATGGAATTAATTTCATTCACTGCTTAACACACTAGTAAACATAATAGATACTTAATATATATTATTGAGTAAATTGAGGAACTAACCAACTGAGTACATAAAATTAGGACAGGACAAATGTCATGCCATGTAAAATTTATAGATTTATAGATTTTTTTTAAGAATTTATGTGATCATTAAATCTCTCTTTATTTTCTTTGTACAAAGTTTGGCACAGCCGTCATAATGAAGACCATTATTAGATAATCAGGAATTAATATAGAAAGAGACATGGTGGAAATCCCAACCTTGTATGCCCTTAAAAATATTGAACATATAGTCCTGTAACTCTCCCCATTACCAGTGTCAGTTAAGGTCTGCTTCTTCCCACAGAAAAGAAAACCCCATTATTTATTAGCAGAGGCTATCTGATCAACTGACATTTGTCTCCTGCTTAACTCCTTTTTACTTCTGGATCAACTTTCTCTTGGAAGTCTTTTACTTTTTAAGACACAAAATTGGCAATATTATAAAAACAGTAAAACTTTCTCAAACTATAACTGCCTGCCTAAAAAATAGGAGAGATGACAAGCCTGATCCACTTTTACACAAACGAAAGATCCTCAAAGCACTTAGACCATAGCTCCAAGGTTTGGGGTTCAAGAGACTGGATGAGTGCTTTGATGGACTGAGAACCAGGCAAGGTTGCCCCTGGTGGAGAAAGCTGCCAACCAATATGCTAGGAGGCAACAGAGGACTTAAGCCGATCAAAGCTCAGTTTCTAACATGTGGGTGTCAGTTTCCATAGAGATTTTATTGGGCCATCAACATAGAAAATATTAACTCACTCTGAGTTGAAATATAGCTCCATCTCACCTCTGCAGCCAGAACTCACCTCATGCCCACACAAACTAATATTGAAGAAATGGAAGTACTTTGTTCCTTTGGAGGTAAAGCTGGGGCCATTCATTAACGAGCCCACGTTGCTGAGGTTGCTGAAGTCATAGTGCAAACTCTGATTTTCTTTCTCGTGGTAGAAAAAGCAGTCACTATAGCAAGCGGAGTGGTCCTTTGATTAAGATTAAGAAATGTAAAAAATTTTTAATAATATAGCAGGAAAGAAAGTATTAGTTACTATGAAAAATGTGTTTCAAAAAAAGTCCTAATTTAAGATCTATTTCAGTAATTTCATCTTCATCATAATATATTTTACCATACTACCACAGAGAATTTCTATAAACTAACTAGATATTCTTAGGCAAAGTTTAGAAGATTCAGAACTTTTCAAAGTAGTTATTCCAAGGTTAGTATCTTGTAGAAAGGTATTTTCACAGTCAAACGTTCCTGTTAGGTCAGTTTAAATAGACAATAAAATTGCTTTCTCCTTCATTCAAAATGTAGCATCAACCTTTGCCCTTACAATATTATAAGACACACTTGCTGCTCTCTGCATGTTCCTATTGCCCACCTACAGAGGTTGTTTTCTTGTCCCGCCTTAACAGAACCACAAGAAATTTAATATTTTTGAAAGAATTCTTATTTGAGTGCTTTTCTTAAAATTGTATGTCCCCAGAAACTAGCACTTACATGGAACATATTAACAAATGTAGTATCAATAAATGTAAAAGGAGAGAAAACGAGAAAGGGAGTGAAAAAATCATTTGTAAATATCACTAACAACCTTGTAGCTCCTGAAGAAACATTACAGGAAACTTCTGAGTTTCTCTCTTAAAGTAGACTCACTTACCCGAGTGCTTCTACTCCCAGGCCCGCACGGAATACAAGCCTCCTTGCCATAGACCTGATGTATGGACAGGTAGGTGTCAGGTGGACACTCCTTGCACTGGTTGGTTTCTTTCTCAATGTAGTCGCCTGGGGGGCAGGGGACACACGATGAGCCCGACTGTTCAGAACCGAGGGCACAGGCACGGCATGAGGATGCCACCCCATCAACTGCATTAGTGGCAGTGATAGAATAAATCTTCACCATGTCATTGATGAACCGTCTATTCTAAAAAGAGAGCAGAAACTAATGACTTCTGCTTTGGGGCTCATTGGACAATCAAACTGCTTTATGTTGATATCACCAAAATAAGCAGAGTGCTCCATCCTTATAGTTTATAACTGACAATGGATCAATATTATTGGGTTTTTTGTTGTTATTTTTTTAATATGTTTTATTGATTTTTTACAGAGAGGAAGGGAGAGGGCTAGAGAGTTAGAAACATCCATGAGAGAGAAACATCGATCAGCTGCCTCCTGCACAGCCCCTACTGGGGATGTGCCCGCAACCAAGGTACATGCCCTTGACCGGAATCGAACCTGGGACTCTTCAGTCCACAGGCTGACGCTCTAGCCACTGAGCCAAACTGGTCAGGGCTGTTGTTATTTTTTCTTTGAAAATCTTAACACTAGAATGTGTTAAGTCCACAGTAACAGAGTCCCAGGAGTTTTGTCACAGTCACCATAGATATGTCATAATTGGTACTAACTCGGGCGTATTTTAGAGACTTTACACCTAGCAGAATTAGCATGGTTTATCTCCCAGTTACTCAAGATAGGAACCCAAACCTAATGCTACAAATAGATGCCAACAGTGTTGGCGGGCAGAAGCCATGGACTAGCCTTGGAAGACTAAGACCCTGGCCCTTACCCTAACACTAATTGTGCAATATTGATGCAATCACGTGACCTCTTTGGGCCTTCCTTCCTCTCTCTCTCTCTCTCTCTCTCTCTCTCTCTCTCTCTCGTACTTTTCCTAATCAAGATTCTTTGTTTTCTACTGAAAGAATTTGCAAGGGAGAGCAAGAATCTGTGGCTTACTTTATACTTTTCCTTACTGAGATAATGGATCAATTAAGATCTCATTTTCATCAAGCAGTGGGCATCACCCTATCAGTACAGGGCAGCACTACTCTAGACTCAATGCTCTTTGTGTGGAGCAAAGCAAAAAGAAGGCAAGGAAGTATCCCTAGCATGTTCATGCCCTGCATAATGGTAATCTGAACACTCGTAAATAACAAAATTGGAGGCCAGTAAAATCTGGGGAATGGGTTCCCCAGTGAAAGCCTCAAGAGAAAATGCTACATCTGCCACCTTAGCTTTTGAGGCAGCTTCTGAACTCGTGGTTTACCTTGTTCTCAAGTTGGAAAGTTCACATCTTTGGAGATTCACAAAAACAATAATCTTGCTACTATTGAAACATACAATGGGATTTACTTAGTGGAGGATGAAGGTCTACCATAGTAGGGAAAGAGGGTAAATAATTCTCTGTGTTAACCCAATCCTGTGTCCACACACATTCTCCAGGCTATAAAAGAAGACATTACTGTAATGAAATTATAAACCAAAATCTGTTAACGCCTCCTGAACAAATGCCTGATCGTTCAGATGAAGAGGAAGTAAGTCACTAGTCTTTTCAGAGTCTCAGAAAGCTTTAAAAGTAAGGTTTTAAAAAAAATTAGATGTTCTTTCTCTTAAGCTTCCAGTAACTATAATTGTTCACAGTGTAGAACAGTTCAAAGATCCATTGTATTATTCCATTTCATACATTCTTGCTCTCAAAAAAATAACCATTTTTATACCAATCTACTCCATAACCAAACGCTTGATTCCACATCAATAAAAAGCTATCTTTTCCTCCAGGAGATTCGAGTGATCACTTTCTATATATCTCCACTGGAGCATCATCTTTGTATTAAAAATAATAATAATAACTTGGAACTTACATCTTGCCCCTGGTTAGTTCTCTGGAATGCCCATGTAAATGTAAACGTTGCATTCTTGAAGATGATGTGGGTGTAAGCTTGTTTTTCTTTGGTTCCACCCCATGATTCCACCACGTTGGTACTTTTTCTATTAATATCCTTAAAAAATATACACAAAAAAGCATAAACTCAGTATTAATACACATGTGTATTCATTAAAAATATGTGTTTGTATTTACAGCATACCCTGCAGGGTTTGTAAATATTTATCTACAGAGATGTAACCCTATAATTAATTCTCAAAACTTCCTCTCAAATCTACACAAGCACTAGCTTAATAATTACAATATATCAACCACATTGTCAATGTAACATGAAAAAGGTCTCAAATCATAGTATGTGCAAGGGGGGTTGTGTGTGTGTGTGTGTGTGTGTGTGTGTATGCATGAGTACGCGCATGTAGGGGTGTGAACTTCTACCTTGGAGAAATATACTTAGAAGGGGAAACATAATTCCTCAAACGTCTCACAGTGAACTTCATAAAATGGCAAGGCTTTCTATTTTTATCTTTTTCCTTGGGAGATGCTGACAGGCAGCTCTTACACAGAAATTGTAAGTTCTCCCTGTTCTATACTTGCAACTTCCTGGCTTACCCAAGTGCAGATTAATCAGGATGTTATTTTATGTTCATGAAATATTCTTTTTGATTATGCTTTAACTTCAGTAGGATTAATTTGTGTAATACTTATTTCTGCTTTTCTTGGTTAAATTCAATATTTAGAATACCATACAAATGTGTGCTATTCCAACAAATATGTCATCATTAACATGGTTAGAAAGCAAATATAATAAATCAGCCAAATAATGTAATACATATCTAATTTATTAGAAATTGTCTACGGCCATACCACCCTGAACGCGCCCGATCTCGTCTGATCTCGGAAGCTAAGCAGGGTCGGGCCTGGTTAGTACTTGGATGGGAGAAATTAAAACCAAGACTAATCCTGAATTTTCTTATTAGCCTTTCCTGCAAAACCCCTAATACATGACCTAGAATTCTGAATGGGCTTCTGTGAATTATCTGGGATGTTAACAATATGGTGGCATGAGCTCGATACATGTCTCTTTTCTTTCTGTGATATAAACATAGGAGTCAAACATGTTATAAAGAAATCAAATCTGCTATAAAGAGATGAATGTTGAGTTCATGCCACAGACAGAAGCAACACAATGTGCTTTTCATACATTACAGAATTCCCACATTACTAAACATTCAAATCATCATACATGCCATTTCCTAAAAGGAGTTCATAATATGCAGATAGTGCTCTGTAAATAACATTTCTCTGGATGTTTATTCCAATAATAAATTGAATTTATTGCATTACTACAACTAACACTTTATTTATGTAAAACACTACACAATTTTGAAAGCATTTTTATATGCTATTTCATTGATATCTCAAAAAATCCTGTGAGAACACCAAATCACACACAAAGACAGCTAACAGATTCTGCTATGAGCTAAAACTCCAGTTTTGATTTATAAAAATAAATAATTGTAAAACCTACACTTAGTAGTGTTTGTTCAAATGAGAAAGAATATATATATATATATATATTTAAATAACCAAAAAAGGGTTTTCTCAAAAGACTTTCAGGCACTGGAGAGAGAGAGTTGTTCATTTTACTTAAAGGAAATAACCAAAAAAGGGTTTTCTCAAAAGACTTTCAGGAGCACACTGGAGAGAGTTGTTCATTTTACTTAAAGGAATCAAAGAAATAGTCCCCAAAGAGGTAAAGTTTGAGCTGCCTTTGAAGTATGGATAGGTGTTCACCAGACAAAAGAGCATAAGGAAGAATGTCATTCAAACCTAGAGTAGCAAGGCAAGAGAAATTAAAAAGTACCAGGTGCTCCACTATCAAATTCAGGGTGTCTAAAAAGGTGTGAAAACTCACAGTAGGTTTAGTAACAGAGGGTAGGCAAAAACTAGAAAAAGCCTTACAGAGGCCAGGCTAAAGAATTTTAAGTGTATTTATAGGCTATTGGTTCTCAAACTTTAGTGTGTATTATAACTACCCTCAAGGTTTGCTAAAAGTAGAGAATGCTGGGCCCCATCACCAGAGTTTTCCATTAAGAGTAGGATGGGGCTCAGAAATTTGCATTTCTAACAAATTCTCAGGTGATGTTGGTTCAGGGACCACACTTCAAGAACTGCTACCACAGGCAACAAAAAGCCACCAAGAGTAAGGGGGTAGCTTGATGTGGATGCCTCTACTATTATTTTTATGTTTCTAAAGATATTTTTTTTTAAATTATGTGTTTTATTGCTTAAAGTATTACAAAGAGTATTACATATGTCTCCTTTTTTTTCCTCCCCTTGACCTTCCCCTGGCCTCCCATACCCCCCAGTGTCTTGTGTCCATTGGTTATGCTTATATGCATGCATACAAGTCCTTCGGTTGATCTCTTACCCCGCCCCTGCCCCCAACCCTCCCTGGCCTTCCTGCTGTAGTTTGACTGTCTGTATATTTTGACAGCAGCATGGATGACAGAATGGAGATAAGAAGAATGGATAGGAGACTACTGTTCAAAGATAATAGGAATGGCTCTGAGAATGAAGAACTAACACTAAAGGACTAAGGAGGCAGAGGTGGGAGAATTGAAGACTTACTGGTTATTTGTGGTATAATATAGATGGATGTGTTGAAGATTATTTATGATCGCCGATTACCACCATGAAGTCATTTTGTTTTTTTTGTTTTTTCAAAACAAAACAGTTTGTCTTCATTTAAGCTCTTAGGAAGCATGAATAAATATTTAAATCTCCATGTATCTTGTATGTCATGGAGGAAATTGTTAATGGACTCTTAACTAGCTATTAAAGGATCTTTGGAAAAACAAAAACAAATCATGTCTATACAGTCACTTCTTAATTATAACGCTAAAATCTTAACCAACAACCTTTAATATCCACATGAGCCCCAGTAAATTTTAAACTAAGAGTTGAGATTTATAGGACATCTAGAAAAAAGGGACAAAATTATGATATGTACATTATAAAGCCCATTGTCTACATTGATTAAATTTTTTAAAATATATTTTTATTGATTTCAGAGAGGAAAGGAGAGGGAGAGATAGAAACAATAATGAGAAAGAATCATTGATTGGCCTCCTGCACAACCCCTACTGGGGATTGAGCCCACAAACTAGGCATGAGCCCTGACAGGGAATCAAACCCTGACCTCCTGGTTCATAGGTAAATGCTCAACCACTGAGCCACTGCGGCCAGGCAACACTGATTAAATTTAACAAGGTAGTGTTTTCTTTCTTCCAAGTGTCCACAACAACACTACTTTCTTCCCTCACTTACTAATACATGTTTTTCCTTCCTGATGGCTTTAACTGCTATTGGGGGAAATTTTTCATTCTGCTGGTGGCATGTTTTTATGAAGAAATGTTCTTACAGATTAATATTCTCTGACTTCTGTCATTTGCCAGGGTCCCCTCAGTCCTTCCCACGAGGAACAAATGCTTTCTTTGTGGGTGTCATTTCACAATTCTTAGTGACTTCTTTAAACATTTTTAAATGCTTTTGTAAGGGACTAAGCATGGGAAGAAAAATAGGATTCTTATCCCAACTTGTATAAATAAATTCACACTTGAAAGAGAATGCTAAGCTTCTAGATTTCTAAATAGGCCTTTGAAAGCCACTCTTTCACTTACCACCATGAAGTACAGAACACAGTCAGCAGAACAGAGGGTCTCAAAGACAAATGTTATTCTTCCCAATTCAGAACCCATGGCTCCAGTCATAGATGTTGGTGGTCTATTTGACATTAAAATTACAATATTATAGTGCATTCTAAATACAATCTGGAACAAAATTATCACTTTTTACATTAAGCTGAAAGCCATGCTCTCCTCATCCCCTAATCTACTGCTCCCTACAGCCCAACTCTTTCCTCACTCAATCTCTGCTTGGCCATACCCTTTGTTATAAATGGAGTCTCCACAACCATGTTACTGTGCTTGAATTTCCTGGTATACAGGCTACCACCCATCCTAAAGCAAGCAAAAGACACCTACGGGAAATTTCAACATGGAAGATTAAAGCAAAATGAGATTTTAAAATGTGTGACATGCTAATAGAGAAAAATAAACATATAAACTATAAGATACTACTGCATATAACCTGGACTAAGATATCCTCATTAAGCATCCAAAAAATCATGATTATTGTAACATTTGGATAAAATATTGTTTAAACCTTTCAGCTTCATCTAATACACAATTATAGTGATAGTTTCTCAATCACTGATTCTATAGATATTCTTAAACATATTACCCTACTTGCTATTTACTAAGGATATCACAGTGTTAATATATTTTATAAAGGCAGTCCTACTCCATCTATTTCTAGAGGGAAACAGGCATGAGGGTTCTTACAGAAGGAAATAGAATGGGTTTTCCTTACTTAAATCCTGGGATATGCAAGTTTAAGATCAGGTAATCATTATCAGAACCTCCAGCCCCACTCTGGATATGATCTCCAGCCACCTCCCAACCTGGAAATGACAAAGATCATCTTTATTAGTAAAAAATCCATTATTGATTTCTAACAATTTTTAAATGAAGTTACAAAAAGTCCAGTAGTGTTTCAAAGTTAGAAATACTTCAAAAGAATTCCCTATTTTTAAATTGAAGTTGCAAATTACACATAGAGGTAGACTCCTACCTACCAATAAAGACATTCCTTATGATTCCTCAGAAATAATCAAGTAATGCATATTTTTGCATAAAAGTTATTTAATGAGAAAACTATTTCTCAGTGAGGCATGACTATCTTTTTTTTAAAACTAAAACAGATGGTCTTCATTCATTCTAATACAATAAGATAGAAAATCCTAGTCTCCAGGTAACCAATGAGAAATAGAAACCTCAAATTACTTAATGAAGAAGATCTGAAGTCTGAAGTTATTTTTTATAGTTTTCTATATTGTTGTTCCCTAATTTAACTCTTGTTCTACGTTCATTCACTTATCCACTCATTCGATTGGCACTCACTGTGTGCTAAGAACCATGATATGCACTAGGGATAGAAAGACAAGACTAGGTTCTACCTCACTGAAGATTCAGAAGAATATGAGAGAGACACACACACACTACAATTGTCAACAATATGGGAGATACAAATGTACATAGAAGGTGATGGGGGGAGAGGGGAATCTGTCCTCTGCACAGAAACAACCAACATACCATAGGCACAACTAAGTGCTATGCTCTCTAAGAACTTAAAATGTAAGGACATTCAGCAACCATCCTATAGAACTCTGTCATGTTTTCAAGTTTTCAGTAAGTGGGGTTCATCGGTATTTTGTAATCAGGGTCACAGACTTCATAGGCAAAAAGAGATAGAGATGATTTAACAACCTCTCACCACGGCTCAGTGCTGAGCCAGAACAAACTAATCCAGGCAGAAATGCTGCCACACTACCCTTCAAAATGGCAAATGCCATAGACTTCATTACTTCCCTTGGTAATCTACTCTGGTATTTATAACCATAACTGGTCCTCCTCAACATCTACCTCTACACTGACCCCAGTGCAAAATAGCTTATATTCCTTTGGAAAGTCATCCGGCTGTAACACCACAGTTACTATTTTTATGTGAGGGCCCAAAGATGGGCAAGCAGCCAAATAAGATTGAAGTTTCTCGTACCCACAGGTAGTATGTTTGTAAAGAGCTGAAACTGAACGTCTTTGCTGCCAAAATACATCCAAGAGGCTGACTCTGAACTCACCATTCATCCCATCACACTTTGAATTCCCAACATTAAAACAGGAGGTTTTCATGTTGCCGGGAAGGACGTTCCACCATTTGTATTCAAAGCCAAGGGCAGGCTCTGTTCCCGCTGGACACGGTCTACATTCTGCAGGAGACAAGTGGGGCAAACAGTGACTGTTAAACTGCATCTTGACAACTTCGTCTCCCTTTGTTCCAAGCACTGCTGAATTTTAATTAGCAGAGAGGGAAGTGGGAAGGAGAGATCCTGAGCCACCAATTCCCTGAAGAATTAATAAGTTTTTCAAAAACAATCTGGAAAGAAAAATAATTCTGAATACATTATACACATATATACTTGACTTACATGAAAAGGGAAAAATATAAAATCTTTTAAAGTGATTTCCCCCTCATTTCTGGGAGTAACTGCCACGACTGAATTATCCCCTACAAGAAGAGTAAGTCTGAAACACGTTCTCTTACGTGTGATTTTAGAATCAGTACTCTTCACCTCATGAATAAGTAAACATTTCACACTACCTATTGGTTATTAAATGAAGGGAAAAATATAAAATCTTTTAAAGTGATTTCCCCCTTCATTTCTGGGAGTAACTGCCACGACTGAATTATCTCCTACAAGAAGAGTAAGTCTGAAACACATTCTCTTACGTGTGATTTTAGAATCAGTACCCTTCACCTCATGAATAAGTAAACATTTCACACTTCCTATTGGTTATTAAATGGAACAGCATATCATGCAATTTAATTATGGATTGATTACTTGAAGTTCAAAACATTAAACTTCAAAATGTTAAATGTTAAAAAAATACTAGGAGTTGAGGGGTTTGGAAAGAGTTAAGGTTTATGAATAAGCCTGATTTAAATTAACATCTGCTCTATTGAAATGGAAGGGTCTTTTCTAACCATTTTTTATTTATTTACCCAAGACACTTTGCATTATCACATCAGTAAGAGAAGGGGTAGGGAGAGAAAATGTTCACTGAGCAAACACTTCTAGTACCAAAGTATTGCAGGAGACATTTTATATAACCTGCTCAGTAATGATGAGCTAGATATTATTACCCACAATTTTTAGATGAGAACACTGAAGTTCAAAAGGTTTAAATAACTTGGATAGATAACACTATTGTTAGCCTGCCGGATATGGACTCAAACCCAAGACAATTTGACTCTTTTTTTTTTCCCCTGTAGAATCTGTTAAAATGGTTCTCCTGCAATAAAGGAAATCCCAACTTAAAATGCCTTCAACAATAAGGACATTTATCTCTCAGACCAGAAAGTACAGCAGTTGGGGGTTGGCTAATATAAGGGCTCAATGACATCATCAGGGCCCCAGGTTCTTTCCACTTCTCTATTTACAGAAATTTTCAACTGGTGTGCTGCAAGGATACAATTTGACTCTTAAGTCCTTTTCATGTTATTTCTCAAAGGCTCAGGATATTAAGTATGCTGCATGGCTATATTCCAGTAAGAAATCTGCAATTAAAATGCACTGTAATCCCTGTCTACCAAAATTAAAATAAATTCTCTAACCACCTTCGACATTATTTGGTAAGTACTAAAATTTTCCCAACTACACACTTTGAAACAATTTACTTAGGGAATATAATATGCTATATGATTAAAATGAGCAAGTTTTTATATAATTGCACAAAATGTGACTTATTATTCCAATATAAAGCTGAATTAGAAGACATTATATTTTATGCTTGCATCAATATCTGTGTACACATACTCTGCAAATGAAGCGCTTATTCTTAATCGTTTAATATGGTGGAACTTCTTATCACTACCCAAAGGCAGAGTCATCCCATAAGAGTGTCTTACACAAAATGCCATTAAAAAGCAATCCTTACGATATGTTAAATAAACCACTGCAGTCTCATGATACCATTATCATGTTTCTCAACTCTACTTCAGTCTCTGAAAAAAAATGTATGTTTTAAAGAATGATTTCATAAGAACAATTAGAACAAAGTTACAGGAGTCCAACAAGATTAGTATGCTAAAGGTCCGAGTATTGGACTAACTGATATCCTACCTTTTGTTCCATCTGAAAACATCCCAGGAGGGCAGGGATGGCAAGAAGATGATCCATTGTTATAAAATCCAGGGTTGCAAGGTGGACAATCCTTCTTCTCTCCAGAAGGGGGCAACCTAATAGCATCTGTGAGATCTTCCCGGCAGATTTTGGGCTCTATCCACTTGTACATTATCTGTGTCTGCAAAAAAAAAGGCTTGTAAGTCATTTAACATCCTTTATTTGCTTTAAACTTCCAATAGCACAAATGTTAAACGGACAGCCTAGAAAAATTCCAAATAGTGATAGACTAGAAGGGCCAAATAAAGACAATCTAAAACATTAGTAAGAAAATGAGACTCCCCCAAAATAAATAAAACTTTAGTGACAAACGACCATTATTTCCAAGTATTTTTGCCCTAAACTAAAGGTGGCTATACTTCAGACAGATCATGTTCCTCATCATGAAATTCCTCTTTAAAATACAGATATGGTGATTATGGCCCTTACTCTTCTATCCACTCACTTTATTTACTCCTTAACCAACATAAGTTTCTATGCAGAGACTCTCTTTTTCACTTTGAGACCTGCACTATTCTCTCCCTTTCCCTCAACCACAGTACCCACCACCAACCATTCCACATAGTGATTAAAAAAATTATTTTTAAAGAAGAATATGTCTAGCTTCACATTTTCATCCTATTATTTCATAAATATTGGTAGTTACTCTCTGGATCTTTTCCAGTAATGTGATATTAGACTCCAAGACCTATAGCTAAGATATTTTCTCCTAAGAGTTTTAGGCCCTCTGGCATGTGCGCTGAACATCAGGATTAAGACAGCCTCCAGGCTTCCAGTCAAGGTGGTAGTATAAATAAACACAGTACTGGCATCCTCCTAGGGCTACATCAAAATTACAACTAAACTACGGAACTACCATTATTCAGAACCACCTGAAATCTAGCTGAACAGACCCCTGTAACTACCCTTCTTTCTTCTCTCTTTCTCTCAAATCAATCAATATATAAAATTTTAAAAAACGATAAAGACAGCCTCTAATTTCAGAGAGGGAAGTACTTTAAACCTTATCCTTTTCATTCTTCCTTGCACATTCATACACCCCCACACAAAACGAAATAAAACAAAATTAGCTATGACTCAGTCAAACCCAGAACACTGTAATTATAAAATTATTCTCTTTTGAAACCAAACCATTAAATGGGTTTGCCATTTCAAAAGCAAAATTGGTATTATCAGTGGGGGGAAAGGTATTCTAAATGCAAAGAGAAAAATAAGTAAATTTTTCATAGCTAAATATGGCTTTTTTAAAAAGAAATTAATAGCTTCCTTCATTAGACATATAATCTGCTTAACATATCTTTCTCTTTAAAAACAATTTCTGTAATAATAAGCCTAATATTGAAGCTGGAGGACCAAAATTAAAGGCAATTCTCTATAGCCATTTTCAGTTAATAGAAAATCATATATATTAAACCCTTTAGGCCACTCAATTTTATCTCAAGTATTCTCTTATGGAAGAGTAAACTATCTTGTCTGAAGAAGGATGCTTGAGAAAACACTTTAAAAGTTAGATAAATGTCTCAACAGAATTATAAATAACTTTTTTTTCATTTTACAACTCTCTTTTTCCACGTTCGTTTTATGCCTACATCATGAAACAGTCTAACCAGCCACTTCACCCATCTGCCTCTCTCTTACCATCTGTAAAATGATGGTCGTTCCTGCTGGAGCTTCCTAAATAGCTGAAAAAATAAATTAGATCCTGTATCCAAAAGGGCTTCCCAACTCCCCCGAGAAAGGCAATATAAAATTCCAAGAATGTAAGCAAAAATATCATCATATTGGGGAGATCATCTTTTTAAAATTCTCGCTTAACAAGTACAGAAAACATTTTAATCTTTGCCAATTCAAAAATTTGCTGATTTATTTTTGACATTAATTAAAATTGTAATGCATTGTGTGTGAGTTACTGCAGTGTTGGGAATAGTTGGTTCCCACATGGGAGTGGGCAGAACTCTGAGGCTGCGCACTGAGGACTGACCATGGAGGCCCACCATGTAATCTTCCCCCCTCCCCCCACTTTGGGAGGTCAGTATTATTATTATCCTTAAGTTTATTGCTCCAAAGTTATACATAGCTAGTAAATGGTAAAGTAACATGAGTCAAGGAGAATGCATTTGGAAAGCGTAAAAATAATAAAATATGCAAATATATTTTCAAGAGGTTAGCTAACCACATGCTCTGCAATCCAAGCACAATTGATGCTTAAAAATCAGAAAATGTGCACCACCTTCAAACATGGAAACATTTAGAAGTCAGATTTTAAATTCTCTGCAGTAAAAGTTTTGTTCTCAACGCCTTGCTTCACATGGCAGACTGATTCTGTTCCTCTCTTGTAAAAGTTTTGTTCTCAACGCCTTGCTTCACATGGCAACTGATTCTGTTCCTCTCTAACGGGGACAGATGCTTTCAAGTCTGGCTGACGGGAAAAGCTAATAAGCAATATTAATGATTTGTAGCACCAGATGGCTCACAGTGAAGGTGAAAAACCAACAATCAATTCATTCTTTGGCAACTTGAGATAAAATTATGAAATGTTTTATGAAACCAAAACCTTAATAGAGCAAAACTTACCAGATTGCTATTAAGATTACAGAAGAACTATAGTTTCCAAGTGTATTTCTATTAAGTATGAATAAAACACAGTTTATTGATACACACAATACACATGGAGGTATCAATTGGAAGCTGGTTCTTACATTGAAATAAAATTCAAGACAGGGAGGACTAAACTTTAGATGAATTTTGAGACCGAATTTGTCCATGACTTTCCTCCTTCAAACGTCCCTGCACAAATGCACCAAGGCTTTGTAGACTGGCTGAATTCATCAGAGATTAATTACATGTGCTTTTAAAGAATCTACCAACGACCACTCCAACCTGACAGCCTTGGGCTTCATCATGTTACAGCTCAGATGTTCCCAACTAGGCTATTGCTTGCCTGTCTGCCTCTCCCAAACCTTGATCCTTTCTGGTTGTAACCCACCGGGCACTCATCATTGGTCTCTTGCAGTCACCTGCACCATTCTGCCTTGCTTTGCCTGCTCCTGCCTTCAAAGCCATGCTCAATATCCACATGGGCTCTGAGCACTTCCTCAATGCACCCATCTACATATCGGCACTCACTTGGATTCCTTTTCTATGAAGCCTTTGCTGTTATCTCTTTCCCCTTGTGGTTACCTACTCAGTCCTCTTCTTCCTTTATGTTAAGACACCATGGGGTTTGACATTGTACTGGAAATTCTAGCCAAGGTTGTAGGCAAGAAAATTTTCTACAATTAGATTGGGGTGAATATACTAAAAACAATGAATTGACACTTCAAGGATATATTATATGGTGTGAGAATTACATCTCAATAAAACTGTTTTTTAAAGATTTTAAAGAAGATTATAATAACATTTTTATTTTAAACAAATGCAGAAATCCCTAATCACTGAGAAAGGTCGTGTTGTTTTCCCATCATCCTAAGAGACAAATGTGTTTGACTTGTTTAGATCATATAGGAAGAAAGGCAGATCTAAAGCCATATCCTTTATACGCTAATTTTAATGTCTCCTATATCTTACTCCTGCTATATAATTCAGAAGTACTGTTATAGACCTTAAGCATTTGGAATACTTTATAATATTGAAGTTTGTTAAAGGTAAGGAAAAGTGCTAGATAATCTGATACCAAAACACTAGCAAACCCTTTATGGTCCATCAAGACGGGGGGGTGTGGTCTAATCTTAAGCATTAAAAGTAAACTACTTAAAAAGAACTTAAGACCTAAGGGTAAGTACAATAACCATATACGTATAAAATTATAGATTGGGACCTCAGATTAAGAAAATAAAGCAATACTGGCATCTATGTGGATTTTCCAAATTAGGTCAAGATATTAACTGTCATGATTTTGAAGATGCAAACATACAGAAAGTATGTTGCATCATACTCACTTTAATCTCAACTTCTCCTACTGAATAGGCTAGTGTAGGCTGACACGTTTTAATTAAGAGAACGGCAGGTCAGCTGCCGAGTTCATGTGTGCATTTTTCCTCTGGCTCAGTGTTGTTTATATGGTAATTACTTTGCATTTTCTAAATGCAATTACACAGCAATCTGCCATGACTAAATTAGCCAATGGCTGCACGGCTTTTTATTGACAAAACCTACTGAGAAACCAAATAATTAAAGAGAAGTTACAGGATACAACAGGTCCCCAAGTAAAGTCGTTTCATTCAATATCCTTTGTGGTTTCATTATAACATTGTTGACTTTTGTTTATATCAATTAGCCTAGAATAAAATTGGTTCACTTCAAGTCTCAAAACCTATCAATAATGTTAAAGTGAGGACTTACTGGATTTCCATCCTGTGAGTCACAGGACACATTTTAAGGCTGTGCTACCCCTGAAAGTATTACTTTTTAAAACATATGACTGTTAAAAAATAGCAGGGATTTATTGGGCACTCAGTATGTGCCAGGCACTGTGCTAGGAACCTTCCATTGAATAGCTCATATTCTCATAGCAGCCTCAGGAAATAGGTACAGAGATTATCCCTATTTTACTAATGAAAACATGAAACTTGGCACCGCCCCAATAACTTGCCCACAGCACTAATTAGTAGATTGGAAAATCAAAGCCAGGAAGGCAGGCTTCAGAAGATAAATTATTAAATTTCCTCTGAACTACTTTAGATACATGTGTTATAAATCAGCTCATTCAACTCTCTCATCAACAAATAAAAGTCTGCTAAAATTGGGAAGATGGCTGAACAAACATGAAATGGAGTGCACTGAACACTGCCAATACCTTTCCATCTTCATCACATGGAGTGTGGATCTGAAAATAGTCTTTTGTGGTACAGGGAGGGCGCTCCATACACTCGCCAGATCCTTCTTCTGCAACAACAACAACAACAAATGCATTTCAGAAATGAGTCCTTTATGACTCTAAGAAAGGGCAAAAAACAAAATAAACAAACAAAAGAGAAATAACTAAAAAGTAAAAATAACCTCACCAGAGGAATTTAGGTACAACTAGCTAGGCCTAAAGAAGATAAGGGCTTACATTTTTATTTTCACTAGAGCAATAAGTGTTTCCATGATACACCTGGGACATATCACAGTTTTTCCAAGAAGACATTAGACTTATTCTATTATCATTAAAATTGTAAATTTGGAACAAGTGAAAAGTTTCTAAATATATCTCTATGTCCACAAATCATCTAAAAGTACAGCATGAATTCAGATTAGTATAAACACATCCCAAGCAGTTACCTGTGAAGTATGAAATAGTAAAAAATTACAGACAAAAGGAAAAGTCATGAAGAAAGGGGTAAAAGTAATTTTTATCCACTCAATATTGATTCACTTCAGCACTTTGGTGTCTAGCCCATTGTTCCTGTCCCACTTATATGTGACATCTGGCTTAGGACTATACACTCAACAAATGTACATTTAAAAAGAAAAGAACATAGAGTATAAATTGGCAAAGATTAGACCCACCTGAAAACTGGGAGTCCTCTGCACACCTTATGCATTCTTTGGCTCCTTTCTCAGAATAGGTGTTTCTGGGACACACTTGGCAGTTGAACGAACCTGGTTTATTGCTGAAGGTGCCCGGCTTGCATGGAAAGCATTCTGATGTGTATGCCACTCCTGTGGGATAGTAACACACAGAGCATGGAGGAACCCAACAGAAGTGAGCAAATCAGCACCTTCTTTCAGCTTCTACCAGAAATGAGAGAGCATTATTGGCACTGAGCTCAGCCCAAATCCTTTCTCTCATTCATTCAACCCCAAGAAGTGTTTGCTGCATGCAGGTAACTGGGATAAATATTGAATAAAACACAGTAAGTAGAGCAAACACTGAAGCAAGAGATTGGCATTTGTTAGAGGTATAGTAAATGTATAAACTCAGTTGTCAAAAGACAACTCCATGAACCCAGAGTGGGATAAACTCTAAGGTCCCTTCCAAGTCTACAAGCTACCATTCTCTGATCTCTGTGGCTACCTGTTTGTTCCCTTTCTATGCTGCTCACTAAGTCACTGGCTTGACTTAACAGACCCTAGGAAGGGCTTGACTTTTCTTCTGGTTTGTAATTTCAGCCTTTGCCAGCAGATGTCCCTAAGACTAATAAGTTAGCATCACAGGAACAAGTACACTTTAAAAATATTAAAACACAAGCCAAACTTTCATAAAGGAGAATCACTGCTTTAATTATAAGTAGCCCTGAGACTGAATAATTTCAGGGTTTACTGGCCACTTTCCTGGGCCACAAAGGCCCAGCTGATTCAAAAGAAGCACAAGAACCAGGCCACAATGAGCACTATCTATAAACTAGGAGGTCACAGTTTAATTACAGGTCAGGGCACATGCCCAGGTTGCAGGCTCAATCCCCACTGGAGGAGGGGGGTGCGGGTGGAGGGGGGGCATGCAGGAGGCAGCCAAATCAACGATTCTCTCTCATCATTGATGTTTCTATCTTTCTCTCCCTCTTCCTTCCTCTCTGAAATATATATATGTATATATATATTAAAGAAGCAGCACAAGAGAAGATTTGGGAGATAGTCAGGCCAAGATATTTATTTTATTGTTATTTTTTTGGATGCAACAGTGACCTGAGTAAGCTCAATGACTGGCACTATAGACATTACTCAAATGAATAATAGGCTCTTATTAACAAACACATTTTTCTTTTATTTAAAGACACCTAAAATTGTCATCATGTGTACTTTTTCACACAGATTAAATAATTCAGTTTAAGGTACAAAAAAAACAAAACAAAAACAAAAAATCAGTCAACTTTCCAGGAATAAAACCAGCACCTCTACACCTGTATGATACTTAACATATTAATTCCTGTCCCATAAACTCTTGGGCCAATCAAACCGACAATTCAATCAATATTTAACTCAATATAAAATGTGATAGGTGACTACTAAAACAGATTGCTGCAAAATACCTTCAATTGTGATATTTTTTACCAACACGGGCTTGACTGCCTTAGAACCCATAAGGATGCCTGTAGTTCTCCAGTACAGTATGTTTGGGCCAGACTTGAGCATTACCTGTAAAGCAAAACACAAGACACTCAGGTTAGCTAAGCCATGCTACATCCAACCATGCCTGAAAGCTAATCTCACATACATTTTTCTTTGAATTATAGTGAAACACCATTAATTTGGAATCCATAAATTTAAGTGTACTGCTAATTCAGACCTAAGCTCTGCTGAAGTTCAAATTTTCTAAAAAAAAAATACTTTGCCAATCCAAAAAAATATAGTAATAAAGAAAGAAAATTCCTCAAGTCTAAAGAAAAAGATAAAATTATTTTCGAAGCATTTGCATGAAGTTTTGGTTTATATTTAAGAGACTCATTTTAGAGAGTGAAAGGCACTCAGATCAATTATATATTTATTGGATGCCATTATTCATAAGCAGACTTTGAGTTCTGAGAACAAAAAGCAACAGACTGAGTTGGATTCTTTTTTAATTTATTTAATAAGCAATACTGCAACAGCAACAAGAGAAAATAGGACTGTTCTTATAAAAGAACCTGATTTAATTCTATGATTTTAGAACTTAAATGTTACTATGTCTAATATCGGCTTTCTTTGCCACTGGGATATTTTTCTAATTATAAATCAAACTAACTTTCTGAGAAATGTCATGCTAATTCAGACAAGCAAACTAATTTTAAGGGTCCCTTGCTTTCTCATTTGCCACCCTTATTCTTCTATGTAGACTCTGGCCAAATCCAAACTATAAACTTAAAACATATCCAACCATTTCACCTTGCCAAGGATTCAGAGAAGTAGTACATTAAGTACTTTCGTCTTGCATGAAGTCTTCATAAGTGAAGAAAGCGTATTTGTTGCCAAGGGTTATTTGTGCCTTCAAAGCCCAGCCGAGAGAAGGCTTAGGCAAATAGATCTTAAGTGGTATTAACGTCACTTCCAGGCATACAGCTCAAAAAATACTCGGAAAAGTAGCTGGAGTCCCTGGATGGTCACTTACTGAAACAGAGCTCCGTCCGCATTTTGGGCACCCATGTATCTTTTCATTTATCCCTGCAAGAGTGGTTTTATTTCTTTTTTTCTTTTTGCTACTTCATTTTATTTTTTATTTTGGGGTTTTTTTTTATTTTATTTTATTGTTCAAAGTATTACTGATAGTAGTACATATGTCTCCTTTCCATCCCCCCCCCCCCCTTTCCCTCCGGCTCATGCCCTCACTCCACACCCCCCCCCAGTGTCTTGTGTCCACTGGTTATGCTTATATTCATGCATACAAGTCCTTCGGTTTTATTTCTTACATGAAAAAAAAAGACCAAATTCAAAGAGATTAAGCCAGTTGCCTAAAGAAACACAGCTACTATAAGGCAGAGTTTGATTTTAAATGCATGTGTCATTCCAAAGGCACAGTGCCTCAAATCATAGCAGATGCATGGACTGTGTTACCTGACATTTGCCTTCAAGCATTTACTAATACAGGTATAGTGTGGAGAATTAGGCAGTTACTTTATTTCAATGGGAAGGCATTTTTCAAAGGGCAAAAAATTTTGACCCATCAGTGGCAAATAGACAGGAGACGGTTTAGATTCCAAACACAGATGAATTTTGTGGTAATCAGAGCTACCCAACAATAGGGTCAGCACATTTCCCAACAAAGCAAGCTTGAAAAATCACTTATGGGGGGTGCAAGTGGGGCAGGGGACGACTGCAGAGAAAGCTGGGTAAAAGGAACTCAAGGATCCTTCCAATGCAAGAGCCACTGATTCTCTCCCATGTGACAGGCACATCTGTAAACGTAGATACTCAGAGGTTTTGTATATTGGTTAGATCAGCCTTATTTCTTGTTATTGCCCCCTTTGAAAGGAGGAAAGTTGAAGTATGATGGGAAAGAGAAAGGAAAGAGCCTAAGGAAAAAGGGAAAGGTAGAGAAAAATACCTAGAAAGAGACTGAGTCCATGAAACTTGGTCTCTAACTGGAAATTTCCTAAATTCATGAACAATTTTGAAGTTTTTTTTTTCCTTAAAAATAAACTTTTAGAAAAGGTTGGAAGAGGAAGGAGAAGAATGGGGTTGGTGATAGAGGAGAGGAACAAAGAGAGACTTACAGAATGCGAGCCCCACTCCCCACTGTCCGTGAGCTTGACCCACTTGTCCGCCGTGGTGTCCATCTCCTGGCACTGATCGTTCTGAATCTGTGGAACAAACACAATGGTCCCAGTATATCTTCTTGAATAATGGCTTTAATTAAATGTGCTACTCAGCATAGGACAGGCTGCAATAACTTCTTTTAATACATACATTCAACAATGCCCATGAGTCATTTTCAACAAGTCAACACATCAAGACCTCTGAAACCGAAGTGCCAACTGCTGCGCATGAGTGGTTGTAGACAAACCATTGTCATTATTTTAACAGAAAGGCTATCTCACTGAGAAGGAAGGAGGGGAGTGGAGAAGAGAAAGAAGGAAAGAGCAGTTCATACTGAAAATTCACATGAAGAGAAAAAGTAACTACAAAAATCTTGCCAAATTGTTTTAAAAGCTTGCATTCGCCATGCAGGCCCAATGGTATAAAAATAAAGTTTACTTTTTAAATAATATTTGGGGAAGTAAAATCTTAAATTAATAAATAAATTAGGTCTGCTTTGTTTTCAGTTCCCCAGGACTTAATCCAAATGTATAGGTTAAGTGGCCACAGTCAACGTCTCAAAATTTTTATTTGGGGGCAAATGTTAATCATTTGCCATACTGATTCAAAGGACTACACAATTAATATCTTTAGCACCAAACACTTTGTGCTTCCCGGAAAATTCTTCCAAAGTGCCTAGGGTTTGGACACTACTTTTCCAGATCTATGAAGTTAGGTGTTTTCAGTTCCCCAGGACTTAATCCAAATGTATAGGCTAAGTGGCCACAGTCAAAATCCCAAATTTTTATTTGGGGGTAAATGTTAATCATTTGCCATATTGATTCAAAGGACTACACATTTAATATCTTTAGCACCAAACACTTTGTGCTTTCCAAAAAATTCTTCCAAAATGCCTAGGGTTTAGGACACTACTTTTCCAGATCTATGAAGAAGATGGAAACATCAAAAGTTAGGCCATCGTTACAGTATTGCACAATAGTCATCAATAGAGTAGGGTTAAAGTAGGTTCTCATCACTTATTCTACTTCCACCCAAATGGCTCTTTTTTTTCTAAATCATTTTTGCCACTTCATACATCCTCTGGACCAGAATATGTTTTCCATCATGAAATTTCCTAAAGACTTACTAACTAGAAAAATAGGTCCTTTTGCCATCCAAATACCAGAGAATTTCCACTACTGAGGATATTGGCTTCAATTGAATTCAAGTATCCTATTTATATTATAAGCATAAAGGCCATTTTAATGTAAGTGTTAAGCCATTCTAGAACAGATAAGAACCCTGAATATACCTTTGGTGGTCAGTGTTTGGATAAGCTGACAGCTTTTTTTCAGCCAAAATCAGACATCATGTGTCATCATGATATTCTTTCTACTGGCATTCTAGGCACCTGAGCTCTGTTATTCATTCTAACAGTAACTAGCAACGGTATAACCTCGGTCCAATCCATTATTCTTTCTAGGTTTCAGTCTCATCATTTAAAAGGGGGGCAGGGCTGACTGAAAGTCTCATACAGTCCCCAAATTAAATATTGTATTGGTTCAAATTATGTAAGGTCCACGGGTACAACTGCATCTTTCAGTCCTCACACATTTCCTTTCCACTAGCCCTTAGCAGGATGACCTGAGTCAATAAATCACAACCTAGGAGGCGGAAGCATCAATGGAAGGAGGAACATGAACTTGCCATCCCTCTTCAGTCTGTAACCAGAAGAACAAAGGCTTCTTGAAAGGAAGTAACGAAACTTCACGCCTCTGGAGGACCTTTACTGACAATCCTCAAAGCACTTGCTGGACAATATAAAACTAAGTGCTTATTCGAACAATTATACAATTACCTTGCTTCTTAACTTCAGTTTAGTTTTAGTGATATTGCAAAATTGTCCCATAAAATAGGTAATTATTCACCCTAAGGAGTGTTTTATAAACAAAATGCAGCTTAAAAAGCAAATCTGAATGTTGCTTAATATCTTAAACTCATCAAAGGATATTAGAGCTAGGAGGGCTCCTTAAAAGGTCCATCACATAATCCACTTCACAAAAGGGAATGCTGAGGGTTGAAAAGTAAACGTAATTGCCCAATAACACACAACTAGCACTTGCAGAGATGGGACTAGAGCCAGAATCTCTTGACTTCAAATCTAAGGTTCATACTTTAATCAAAAACATCTCTTCCTACCAACTTCTGATTTAGAAATTTCCGTTATCAAGAGCAATATATATTTGTTTTAGAATTTTTAGTACATTTCCTCCTAAAATCTGTACCACAGAAACATTTAACAAGATAGTTTGCCAGTTACTTGCACACACTTTTTTTAGTATGAGATGTCAATGGGAAAACATTTTCTCAAACATGTGAGTCACTGCCACAACAAATATTCACTAGATTAGCTACAGTTTATATAAAATAGTTAAATAATTTTAGAGGTAACAGCCTATTCTGTTAGACTATTATTTTATCCTGTATATTGTAATGCTATTTAGTCTCTTACCAGAGACATCAGCTATCCCATCCATTAATTTCTTTAGATTGTGTACAACTGACAGAATCAAAATCTACAGCCACCTCTACTTCTGAAATAGTGTCCATGAATACAGTTAAATAATTCAAATATTTGAAATTGCAGGGGGAAAAAAAGTTTTTAAACAAAAATTGAATTTGGTGGAGACATATTTTTAACAAAAAGCATCTGTCGCTACAAAAATAACAATTTTTAAAATGAATCTAGGGGAAAATATTTATCACACAAAGAGTCTACACCAAATGGTCATCTAATGATCATAACCAAAAGTAAAACAAGCTCAATGTTACTCTACAAGGCAAGAGCTCAGAGGTAAAAAAAAAAAAAAAAAAAAACAGTATTTCTATCATAAAATATTATAGAAAAAAGTAAAGTTGTCTTTTAGCATCAAAAGTTTCAGTTAACACACACACAAAAAAAAAACTGAGAAGGCATAAAGTGTAATGGAAACAACAGATTAAGGTAAATATTACACGAATGTCCCATAAAAAGTATATTTCAGAATATAAAAGGCCTTACAAAGAACTCAAAGAAGATGTTGTTGTCGACGTACTGGTACTCAAAGAAGACATTACCCGACTTCTTAAGGTGCACAGCATAGATCAAAGACACGGTGCAGTCATCACGATTTGACTCTATGTAATTTCCACGAGGGACCCAAGAAGAGCTGTGGAAACAAAACCAAGGGGCATCTTACATCCGCATTCAGAAACCTCCTATGTGACTCAGATTCAAAAGTCGTTCCTTCAGCAAGGCACAGCAGAGAAGACCAGAGCTTTTCTGGAATTCAACAGCCAACACCATTACTGGGAAAAGAGTCATTGCTTATGGCACACAATTCCCTAAATCTTGGTAAGATCAATTTGCTATGAAACTGCTATTTTTCATCAAAACTTTGATCACTTAAAGAGACAATCACTAATTCTACTAGTTTGGGGTAGAATTATTCCCTCAAACAACATCTGAAATTTTATTTATTAACAAATACACATGGCAGGAGGTGAGAAGATTCCTTGATATGAGAGAAGAAATAGTCCTAGAAAAAGCCCATTTAAAATGAATCTAAATAAAATAGAGATTGCAGTTTCATAGTATATAATGAGGTAAAAGTCTGGAATTTTTATCTAAAAAAAAAATAAAAACTTAAGAAAATATACTGGTAAACAGAATTTGGGTTGTCAATCTAACCATAAGTTAATTCTTAGAATCAATGTGTCGTGTGTCAAGTTTTGGGGCAAAAAAACAATTCCAACTGAACTGTACAACAGATAACACAACTTAACATTCTTCTCTTCAGGTTTAACTTTTTATTTAGATAAGAGTGAGATTTTTAAATTCTTTTCTTTTTTCTAACAGAAATAAATTCTGAACAAAAGACTGAGACTTCCACATCCCAACATGACTAACTGGTACTGGATCTGCCCTTTCTCTTTAACCATCTATTAAACTAAACAGAATGTAGGAGCCATTTCGAGCCTTAACAATAGGCAGTGCAGGACTGGGATGCCTGAGAGCAGCAAAACACATGCGGTAAAGCCCAAATTGACCTTGGCCTCATTCCTTAGGACACTTCCCAAATGATGACACCAGGAGGTGGCACCCAAGCAAAGCATGGTGGTCTCACTGAGCTGAGGAGCAGAGACAAGTGCTTGGGGGCAGCTGAAAAAGCTGGAATTTATACGCCTGAGAATCACAGAAAATAGGGGCTCTAGTAACCCATATGGAGTTTCTCTGTAAGTCCTGAGCTTGGGGCTCGCAGCCAATGCAAAGCTGAGACATAATCAGAGAGGTCACTTTAATGGAAGTCACTGGAGCTGCAAACCAGCCAGGAAGGAAGAAACTTGATAAACTTATTGGACATCCACTTAAGATTCCAGAATTTGCTACATCTTATAGAGGCCATGCCCTACAGCAGGTGTCAGCAAACTGTTTCATAAAGGGCCAGAGAATAAATATTTGTGGCTTGTGGACAATTTGGCCTCTCTGGCAATACTTAATTAACTCTGCCACTGTAGCTCCAAAGCAGCTAGAGACAATGCATAAGCAAATGAGTGCCTCTGTGTTCCAATACAACCTTATCTGCAAAAACAGAGGGAGGGCTCACCGCTGTACTTTGTAACTCCTACCCTAGAGCAAAGGCCATGACCTAGAACCAATGCATAAGCAAATGAGTGCCTCTGTGTTCCAATACGACCTTATCTGCAAAAACAGAGGGAGGGCTCACCGGCTGTACTTTGCTAACTCCTGTCCTAGAGCAAAGGCCATGACCTAGAATTAAGTGTGAAATAAATACAGAGCCATCAAAAAAATAAAATAAAATCAGACCTAATGAGGAAATATTATAGGCTGAGAAAATAATACTAGATAAACATCCAGATCTATATAAAAATGAGGGAAGGTAGGAGGGGAAGCGAGGGAGCATATCTTTTAGCATAGCTAAATAAGTCCCAGCATCTTTAGCTCAAGGTAAAATGTGTGAGTTTCTGAAAACTGGGAAGCGAGGGAGCATATCTTTTAGCATAGCTAAATACGTCCCAGCATCTTTAGCTCATGGTGTGAGTTTCTGAAAACCCACTCTTGTCAGAAGTTAGTCAGAGGCCTAATGTTTAATAACATGGCCATGTGAAAAGAAATGTCACATAGTCAATACAAGGGAATGGAAGTGGGTACAGACCACAGATAAACATTTTGGTGTTGTTGTTTTTTTTATCAAAACAATTTCAAAGTCCTCCAGTGGTGTCACAGGCAAAGCTAATAATTTCCTATAAGAGGCAGAAATTAAGCAAATGAGCTTTCCACTTCACATATTTAACCCACTCTCTATTAGAAAATAATCAAGTGCCTAAATGAAGGCTACACATTCTTTCTTTCAGAGAAATAGAAAAAAATCTGAAATTATTTATTAAAAATTAGAGAAGCATTTTTAGAAATACACTGGCTTGAGTGTACTTATAAATATATTGGAAAATTAATTTGTTTTTCTAATAGTGTTATCACATTTTTAAGTGCCTAAATGAAGGCTACACATTCTTTCTTTCAGAGGAAGAGAAAAAAAATCTGAAATTATCTGTTAAAAATTAGAGAAGCGTTTTTAGAAATACACTGGCTTGAGTGTAGTTATAAATATATTGGAAAATAAATTTGTTTTTCTAATAGCGTTATCACATTTTTGCATATGGTATCTATTCTGTCCTGAGAACAATTATTTTAACTTCATAAAAACTGAGCTACATTATTTGTAATGACTAGCCAAAAAAAATATGTTTATTTGTAATTAGTTTATCTATAATCCCAATCAATACCAAGATTATCCTCAACTTCTTTCTGGAAAAGAGCAACTACATCCTTCTCAATGGTTCAATCTAAATCCTAAGGGTCCTTTGGGTTCTTACTTGTTACAGCCATCAGGCCTGGTGTCAGAAGGGCCAAGTACAGTGTCCATGAAAGTTGCAACGTTGGAAAATCCTGCTGGCAATTCATCCCATTCATCAAATTTGATGCCACTGCCCAAGGAGTAGGTGCCTTCACCACACTTACTGCATACCTGGTTCTTCATCTCTAGATACTCTCCAGAAGCACAGGAGAAAGCTGGAAGACAGAGGACGCATAGCCCATTAGTCACCAGACACCCCCATCAATTCCCTCCCCTTCACACTGTCACCAGAATTGTTTTTTATAAAGTTCTGATCATGGCACACCCTAATTAAAGCTTTCCAAAGTCTCCCTTATCTCTACTGACACTTCACAATCTGGCCCCAACCTGTTTACCAGCCTCAGCCCTTGCCCCACCCTTTTCCAACCATAACAGAATTCACATCATTACAAAAATATTTCATCTTCTTTTTTGCTGCTGTGGTTTTCCTTCTCCAGAGATGCTGACCAACCCATCTACCCTATTTGGAAAATTCCCATTTCTAACTCAAAAACAACCCTGCTCATAACAGACCTCCCCGCTCCCACCAGGCAGTCAGTTTTGCCTCCCTCTGCGCTCTTATCATACTCTTCTCATAATACATCTATTAAAAAGCAATATATAGGGTGTCCCAAAAGAATGTATACACACACACTGTGAATAATTATAAAGGCAGTGTTTATTAAAATTCATTTTCAAAATTGAGCTATTAGCTGTTAAAGTGTGTATACATTTTTTGGGATACCCTGTATATATATATATGGGAGTCCCAAAAAATGTATACATACTTTGAATGATTTTAAAGTCAGTATTTATTAACATACAGTTCTCTCATGTATTATGGAGAGAGAGACACACACACACACAGAGACATTAAACACACAGACACAGAAATAGATATAGATACTAATACCACTTATTAGTTGATGTGAAGCTTTGAGCTTCCAGAAAACAAGGATCATTATTTTTGGGTTCCTAATTGTAGCTATCAAATACTAAGGCCAAACAAAAGGTTGATGGAGTGAATGGGAATCTGACGTAAAGGGGATGTCGAGGGCAGTGCTTCATGTGCAATAGCTAAACAAATATCTCCACTCTGGAACCATGAGCCGTCTTTTTCAATATTCATAACTATAACCTAGTCATTTCCACAACCTACATCTCATTACTGATGTCAAGTTCTCTGCTAATTCTGAGAGCTGTACCCAGAAGTCATGGGCAATGTGACTAATAGTTGACACAGTTACAGAAAAGAAGGTAGTGCTGCTCCTAAGTTATTACTCATTCAACAAATGCAAATCTATGTCCCCTGAGTGTGTGTCTCTGTGCTCAGGGTGGTATTACTGACTCAACTACAGCAAAGGGCTTTTTAATCCTTTAATCGGGATATTGTAGAAACAAGGACAAAATAAAACCTTCAAATTATCCCATAAAGAAAACAAATTTCCCAGCAGAGAGCGAAGCAGCAGAGCCTCACATTTAGGTAGATTCTCCTTTTAGAATACATTTGGAAACTTACCAAAAAAGAAAAACATGTTAATTTTGAAAAAGTGAAGAATGAGAGCTAAAACCCACACTCATCTACCTACTTAACCACTAAATAAATATAATGAGATGAGGAGACCAATTCCAGTTCATGGGGCATGAATGACAAAAGGTTTATAGAAAAAAATACTACACCAGTGAAGGTCAAGGGAAGGAAACTGGTCAGAGTATTTGATGAGGTCACCAATGGGGGCAGAACAACACATCTGTGAAATCAGTTTTCTCAACGTCTAATTTATATGTCCTAACATTGATTCTTATCCTCCTGAACTCTTCCTCTTAGGAAGTGTCAATCACCCTCTACTTCCTGGTGGTCTCTCTGTCCTTGATTCTGCAATTTTCAGGGCTGAGTTCTCTAATCTCCTTATAAAATGCTTGTTTTCAGAGGAGCTCACTCAAGCATAGCTCCCATCAAACACTACACTGATATAAAGCCTGATTTTGAGCTGTTCTCTTAACAATCTCTTTTGTCCTTGCCTTTGACCCACTACTTGTGTGTTGCTGAGCAAATTTAACTTCAACACTCTCCATACCTGGAATGTGATGCATTCATATTCCAAATTAGACCTACCGAGGACAAAGTGTTTCTGTCCTTTTACATATAGAATGAATTTTTACAAATCTCATTAGATCTCTGTGTTTCACCTACAGAAAAGAAACACTGAAGCCAGTCTCTAATTTGATGACACCAAAGATATTCAATCAATAAATATCCCAGTGTTTGGAGCTTTCTTAGAAGTCATGAGAGGATTATAGCTCCTCTCCTCTTGGAAAGAATAAAACACAATTCTATTTTAAATTAAGAATGGCTATAGTTTTAAAAAATCAATATCTTCTAATACATGTTAAATAATGAAAGCATACTATATGTATCAAGCACCCACAATTTTCTAGGCACAGAAATAAAAAAGCTAAACTCCTCATTGTTTATGATGATATAACTACAAATGTGCCCTAAATTATGAATGTTATTCTCTTACTTTTCAGAAACATGTACACAATTAAGAATAAAATTGCCCTGATTAAAAAAAAAAGCTGAAGGATTGTATCACCACTAAACCTATATTATAAGAAATTTTGGAGATTTTTTTTAAGAAAAAAATGTCAAAGATATGAATATGGAAATATTGCAAAGAAAAAAATTATCAATGTCAAAGAAAAATACATTATAAAAGCAGTGGATCAACCTACACTAAAACTAGTACAAAGGTTAAAAGGCAAAAGTAGGGAGATCATGTGTAATTACAATAGTAAATTAAGAGATACACACAAACATACACAAGCAAAAGAAGTAAAAAAATAATGATAAAATATAAACATGGAAGGGTGAGTAAAAATGGTAGTAATTTTTAAGTGGCCATCAATTTAAAATAGACTGCTAAGAACAAAGCTTGATATATATGAAGGACATAGTAACCACAAACCAATGCTCTACAAGAGAGAACAAAAAGAAATCCAAACACAACACTACAGAAAGCCACCAACATACAACAAGAGGAGAGAGCAAGAGAATAAGAAAAAACACAGAACTACAAAAATAATCAGAAAACAATTAATAAAATGCCAATAACTACATACCTATCAATAATTACTTTAAATGTATATGGATTAAAGGCCCTAATCAAAAGACAAAAGATAAAGAAGATGTGGTATATATATACTGGGCTTCACGGTTAAATGGAATATGACTCAGCCATTAAAAGCATGAAATCATACAATTTATGACAATATAAATGGACCTAAAGGGTGTTATGCTAAGTGAAATAAGTCAGACAGAGAATGACAAATACCATATGATTTTACTTATATGTGGAATATAAAATAAATAAACAAACATACAAAACAGAAACAAACTCATAGACACAGAGAACAAAATGATGGTTATGAGATGAGAGGGGGGTTGGGGGTCTGGATGAAAATGTGAAGGGTTTAAGAAGTACAAATTGACAGGTACAAAATAGTCACAGGGACATAAAGTACAGCTTAGGGAATACAGTCAATAATAAGATAATTGCACAGGTGAGTGCAAGACCTTCTGGGGATCACTTTGTAAGTTACATAAATGTCTAACCACTGTGCTGTACACCAGAAACTAATATAATATTGAATGTCAACTGTAATTTAAAAAAAAATTTATTTAAATATCAATTAGAAAAAATAAAATCTACAAACAGATCATTAATCAATTAAAATGAGCTACAAAGCCATATATCTGATATTTAAATGCCATCTTTTTAAAAATCCACTTACCTATTTTGGATATTAGTTTGCATGGCATTTCTGTCAAGAGGTAAAGGTTAGGGGAGCATGGATACCTCAAGAAGGGGACTAACACTTGTTGAGCATACACTGCAGTGCATTCCAAAGAGGCAGAACACCATGGGGTTAAGAAGATGGACCCAGGGAGTTAGACTGCCTGGTTTCAACTCCCAGTTCTGCTTTTGACCTATCTGTGTGAGGTAATACAAGCACCTATTCACCAGAGTGTTGCAATGACTAAATGAACTGGAGAAAACACAGGTAAAGCATTTGCAATCATGTCTTGCATATAGCAAGTAAAGATTGGCTATCATAATTTTTCATTATTATCATTACTACTAGTGGCCCGGTGCACAAATTCGTGCACACTGAAAGAAAATTAATTAGAAGGAATATTTTAATATCGCTATTCGCCCTTTCTCTATAATAGAAGTGTCAACCAAATTCATGATCAACAATGACAGATCAAAACACACTCATGCGATTGGCGCCAGCAAGAGTTTTATATGTATCACACATGTGTGACTCAATTTAGCCTTTTATATATATAGAATAAACTTGCTTAATTAGACCTTGCTTAACTTAGCTAAACTTTTCCCAGCCCAACTTCTCTTTCAGGTAATTGTCAGCAACACAGCAATAAATATCAACATGGAGCAGATTATTATTGTAGGTCATGCAGGGAGAACAGAAGGTAAATGGGACTGAGTACTGCAGTGTCAGGAGACCTGGATCACAGGGCTCTTGGGAGACCTCAGGCTGGCTGTGCCAACTTCTGAGACGCTCCGTTTCCCAACTGTCACATAGGTGGACTAGACACAATTGCATCTAAGATCTCTTCTCATATATCTAAGCTGTCCCTACTTAACCCATCTAAGGAAAGTAGTTGTCTTTAATTTAGAAAAGGTGGGAGGGGAAGGGACCAGGAGAGATTTCAAAGGAGGAAGAGGCAGTCCAGGTAGACCTTGAAAGATGGGGAGGATTTCAAAAACAGGCAAAGGAGCAGAAGAAAAGGTAGGCAATTCAGGAAACTGAAGGAACAAATGCAGAGAAAAATTCTGTGGGGTTTGGAGAAGAGCAAATAGTTTGGCCAGAGCACAGATTCTGAGGCAGAGGTCACTGAGAAATGGGCTGAAGAAGTGGGCTGAGATCACAACACACAAAAAAGACTTTGATGTGAGGCTGTGACATTTATACTAAATCATTTGAAGAACTGATTAGAGTTCAATTTTGAGAATATTTACATTTTTTTATCTTCCTCTAATAACATATAGTTGTATGATAACCAATTTGAAAGTTAAAGAAAATTGGTTTTGAAATAATGTAGTTAATTCTTACTAACATACTAGAGGCCTGGTGCATGGATTCGTGC